TCTTTCTTCTTCTTTCTTCTTCTTTCTTCTTCTTTCTTCTTCTTTCTTCTTCTTTCTTCTTCTTTCTTCTTCTTTCTTCTTCTTTCTTCTTCTTCTTTCTTCTTCTTTCTTCTTTCTTCTTCTTCTTCTTCTGTCCAAGAATTCTGCATAATCTTCTTCTTCTATGGGGGGGGGGGTTGTTGTTGTTCTCTTTGGCATAAAACACTCAGATCCTTTGCTTTTTTCTGCATGAAACACTACGGTTTTTCTGGTTGACCCAAATGGCCTTTGATAAGTGAAAGGCCCATTAGTATTTATTTATTTATTATATTTATACCCTGCCCATCCTGCGAACAGGCTCAGGGCAGCTAACAAAGCGGTACAATGTACCTGATTGGCATAACCATAAAAATTTAAAACTACATAAAACACATACTCATTCATATTACATAATTTAACAGTTAGCAATAAAGTGCTCACGGTACTAAAGATTAGATGGCGTGCATTCCAGATCTAAATCTACGTTGTTCGTCCGATCATCATCCCTCGAGCTGATGGGCCTAGCGATACAACTGGGCCAGTCCTAGGATCCAGAGGTTCAATGGGATCATTGATGGTAACAATAGTGGCGGCTCCTATTTAAAGGCCTGGCGGAAGAGCTCCGTCTTACAGGCCCTGCGGAACTGTAAAAGGTCCCGCTGTATGCCAATTGTATTGGTGGTGGAAAGTCACAGTCTATAAACATGCAAAAATATATCCACTGTGCACAGTGCGCTCAATATTTCTTTAACAAAAATCGTGGTTATGAATATGAAAGTACAAAAGTAATAATAATACATTCAAGTTATGAAATCAGGTACATAAAGATAGGTGACGATGGGACGGTAGTCTCTGGAATGCAGTGCCGTTTCGACAGACATCTTCTTCTAACCAATAATCTAGAAGTTGATAATGTATGAAAAATAGCACTTCAATGGAAAAGCTGCCCAATTCACATGGAGTTTGATGCCCAATTCACATGGAGTTTGATGACAGTTTCACCTATTACATTGCACAAATAATGGAGGAGAACATCTCTCAGACAGATTAAAACTTACTGTAAAAGGTCCCGCAGTATGCCAATTGTATTGGTGGTGGAAAGTGCCATCAAGTCGCAGCCGACTTGTGGTGACGCCGTAGAGTTTTCAAGGCAAGAGATGTTCAAGAGGCAGTTTGCCATTGTCTGCCTCCACATAGCAACCTTGGAATTCCTTGGTGGTTTCCTGCACTGCCCAAATATTAGCCAGGGCTGACCCTGCTTAACTTTCGAGATCTGACAAGATTGGGCTAGCCTGGGACATCCAGGTCAGGGCACCAATTGTGTGACTTAACCCTATTCCCGATAGTCTTTAATTCCTGTGTCCCTCTGTTTTTCTGCTTGTTCTGCTTCTCTTGCCAGTAGCTTGCCTATTATGATGTCACAGTGGGCCTGAACTGGTAGGAAATCACAGGTCTTTATGCCAAGGTATGTATAGTAAAAACAGAAAATCTCCTAGCAAGAAAAAATAAACTTATTAATGGATATCAGATACAACCGGCATCTCTTCTGATTCCAGCAAATCCATAATAAAATAGGTTAAATTTTGTGAGGAAAAGAGTGAAATTGTGATTTAAGTGCATATTAACCTGAAAAATGAAATGAATCTTACTAGCAAGTATTATTTTAACTGAGTACAATCCTATGAATAATATAAAGTCTGTAATTCATTTCATAAGAAATAAAAAACAACAAAAGGTATCTGGTCCTTATACAGGGAAATACAATTTACATCACAATGTTGTTCAATGGCTTTTCTCCGAGGCAACTGCTTATGCATTCTCAGCAGGATAAGTCCAACTGAATTAGTTGTCATTTTTTTCTCATTCTGCACACTTAGCATTGCAAAATCTGGAGCCAAAGTATACTGCAGCGAAATGTAATGCTAATATACTGCCCTTTCTCCATAGCAAAATCTGTTTGCCCCTGAAACTCCTTTGCTTCCAAGCCAGATTACTATCACTAGCATTCTAGAAAAATACATGTCTCACAAACACAGTTCTTGAAAAATGTGGGGCTGGTCTTGCCCTGCCCAACCACCCCCATTTTTGTTGCAAAATGCCTCCTCCTCAAAGGATCGGTCACTTTTAGGCACTTACAAGAACTGAGTGACAATTCCAAATTTGTAACAGGTCAACAGCATGAATTCCCTGGAAATATTTAACTACAATAAACGATTCATGGAACTGGTTATACAAACTTCCATCTCCTTCTTTATCTCACAGTGCAAAGATAAGGTTCTTGATTGGCTATCAAGGGCAGGAATAATTTGATTTTGTTTTGTTTGCTTTATAGCATTTTTTCCTTTTATTCTACCATGTATATTAATGGGGTAAAATTTTAACTCGCACATCTAAATTACAATTATCCCCCCCTTTTTTTACTAGCCAAGTGATATGTAATTGGTGACGCGAAGACCATAGCAGCCTCAGTCATCTCTGGAACAAGTCAATAGCTGTAGAAGGAAGCGAAACATACATAGAGGCTACACCACATATTCCACTATAGCCAAGTAGTGACACAAATGGTTACATTTCCCATACTAATAAATTGAAAGTAAGAATAACATTGATCAAAAGCTACATTTGAGGTTTTTTAATAGCCTCTATAGCTTGCTGATATAAATGTATAATATGATGCAATACGAAACTCAGAGATGGAACAAACAAATTTCGCTTAACAATGTAAAAAAACAAAGTAGAATTAATCTCAACTGAAAATGGCTATTGCTCTGTTTTTAATTCCATGAAGGTGCTCCCCAGAAGTGTTTCCCTTAGTCAGCCAACTCTCAGAATGCTTTGGTTAGTCCTGTCGCTAAACAGTCTCCCAACTTCCTTTAAAACATCTTTCTCTTTACATTGAAATAAGCCAATTAGCAGCTTCTTCTAAGGTCCTTTGGGGATGTGATGAAAGCTTGACTTCAGATAGGAGATTGTACCAAGTCATCCACTTCCATACACATCTTTGGCCAATAGATCTCTTCTTGAACTCTCCTTTTCCATCCCTCAGTTTTTGTCGATAGTATTCAGTATTGGCTTCCGGTCTTGGCGCTTTAAACGATGGCGGTATCTCTTGGTTCCTCCAAGAGACGTGTGCCATGAATGGGGGATTAGGAGGGAGTGTGATTGTGCACACTCCCCCATGGAGCCCATAGACAATGGGCTTCTAGCCAGGGGGCTTTGGAGAGCCTTACCTCCGGCCGACAGCCGGTACAGGGGGGCTACTCTCTGCCCTGAAGGTCCTGCCCTGATTCCCAGTACTGGATTAGAAGCGACCACCAGGACAAGCATTTGGAGGTTTAGCGATTTTCTCTGCCTGGCGTGATCCCAGGGGCCGTCTTAGGACCTGGCGGACCAATTCAAGGATTGATGAGTGAGTTGCCGTTGAAACGAGACATTAAAGCCTAGACATGAAGTTCCTCTACTATAAGCGTATAAACAGAGGGGGGGAGGGGACGCCCTATCTCCCGACGTTTTAAGCAAACGCGAAAGCAAGGATGGAGGGACTGATCAAATTGTGGCGATGGACTATAGTGGAGAGTTTTTCTGAAAGAAAGCTGAGCGTTTAAACAGACCTTCGAGACTTTGGCATTCTTTCTCGGCTGATGTAAACATCCCCAAAAGATGGCAAGGAGAGGCAAAGAGGGAGGCGGGATCAATGCTTTCTTCAGGAAAGAGAACAGTGGAAAGTGAGGTCACGTGACCTAACCATAGACTCTGTCTTTAAAGTGAATTGTGGGCCCTCTGTAAGGAGACTCTAAAGTTTAGTTCTTTGTGGCTGGATTGGCAAGCTGATCGAAAAGCGGTTTTCTGGAGTAAAGGGCTCACTACCCCAACTTTACAAGATCTGCTTGCTAAGAGAAAGGTTCGAATCTCCAATGAGCGTGTTGTTAATGCAACAAAAGGAAAGACTCATTTGATTTAAGACTTTTAAGGAAGCGAAGATGTCCCTGGAAAAAAGGAACTTGGTTTATATCATGAATGGACAGATCCGGACTTATTAAAACTAAAAGATAATTGAAGAAAGAAGATACATTGAAGACGGAAGAAGAAAAATATGTTGTAATGTTCTTACTGAGGGAACATTGGTTTTAAAGATCTTGCCTATGGGGGGGGAGTAAAGCGTAAAAGGAGATGCTAATTTTTTCTTAAGGGCTGTGATTATGTCTGTTATAGCTTTGGAATTACTTTCTGTTTAGTCAGATAAACTGGCTCTGTCAGCAGAAGCAATGATTGGCAGGTACTCTTCATGTTTGAAAGTAACTGTATAAGAGTAATAACTATGTTTTAAGCATTGTAAAACCTCCATTCTTGGGGTTTAGTTAGGTTTTTTTTACTTTCTCCTTTAGATTGTAGATCCTCTGTCCCCAATTTCTGTTGTAGTTTTATAGAAATGCAAATAAAAAATTCCCCTTCAGGGGGCCAAAAAAGAAGAAGAAGAGATTGGATTTATACCCCGCCCTTCACTTGGAGTCTCAGAGCGGCTTACAAACTCCTTTCCCTTCCCCTCCCCACAACAGACACCCTGTGAGGTGGGTGGGGCTGAGAGAACTCTGACACAAACTGGTCTTTTTCAAGGACAGCTGTGCCAGAGCTTGTGACTGACCCAAGGTCACATCAGCAGATTAAAGGCCCATAATGGTTGGCTGTTGCTTTCTCAACGGGTACTCACTGTTAGGAAATGGTCCTCTGAAGGACCATGTGAGCTAGTGAGGGAAAGGGAGCGTGTGTGTTTGTATATATCTGTGTAAAGAAAAAGCAGCTTTGCATTTGGAACAATCAGGAGTTTGGAACAATCAGAAAGAGACATTTGGCTTGAAGTAACTTGGAGTGAAGGATGTCTCTCTTTCTCTGGGGATCTGATTGTGGGATAGTTAATTTTCTGCCTTGCCAAATGCGTCTTTGCTGCCAATTGTATATTTGTAAATTAATATTACAAAAATGCTGTAAATCTCCAGTGTGTTCTCCTTCCAATGGGTAGCCACCCAGGTAGAGCTGATTCTGGATCTTTTTACCTCTCACAGAACAGTGGAATTTGTAACAATATCTTCTAGATCTTCAACTCTTCTATCTGTTCTTGTAAAATAATGTTTTGTTTTTAAGTTGTGCAAAACCTTATCATTTGAAGTAACAGTGTGAAGCTGAAAGTCCTTCCATTTGGGTTCAGATTGGCAACAGCATCAGCATTCTCAGAAAGTATGTATCTACCTACTGTTTCTCAAGTGTGGCCCCCATCTGCAGATATCTAAATCTACAGATCAGAGCCACACTTACACAAAAGAGATTTTTCTACAAACTTGAGGAACCTCCTAGATTTGCGGGAAAATCCAAAATGTTAAAAAAATGCATGGGGGGTTAAATTCCCCCCAAACTATACTTACCATTGAAGGATCTGGAGGATCTACATCAGATGAACCACTGAGAGTGGTGAGGGGGTGTTATGTATTGTGTTATATGTATAGCCTGAAGTGTAGAATGAGCCTGAGCTTCAGTCACAAGCTCCATAGACTCTCAGTATCCTGAAATCAATAGCTTGATTGGCTGCCATTGTGCAATGGATCAATCAAGGAAGACTATGACTTTCAGCGGGTGGTTCCAATGTCATCCATGACTTCAACATCGGTCATCTGAATGCTGTGTCACATTTTCACCACACACGGACTGCCAGAGACTATCATATCCAACAACGGAACCCAGTTCATATCCTCTGAGTTCCAGAGGTTCATGGAAGTGAACCTGATCCAGCACATCACAGCAGCCCTGTTCCATCTCTCTACAAATGGACAAGCTGAATGGATGGTGTGAACCATGAAAGACACACTCTGCAAGAGCATTCATGGGGACTGGAATCAAAGGTTGGCCGACTTGTTGCTCCAACAGCACATAAAGCCACACACAGCCACAGGGAGGAGTCCCGCAGAGCTCCTAATGAACTGGTGTTTGGCTTCACTACTCAACTATTTGCATCCAGATTTCACATTCAACCACCCACCGCAGCGAGAGTCCCGGGAGATGCCCCACTTATTCCAGATTGGCAACACCGTCTACGCCCAGAACTACAGCAAGGGGCCATTCTGGATTCCAGACACAGTGACCTCGGCTACCAGACGAGTCTCCTACGTGGTAACCACATCTGTTGGTAGGAGCCTCCAAAGACACATCGACCAACTACGGCATTGATGGGCTGAAGAGTCAGAGCCGAGACACACTCTGCAAGAGCATTCATGGGGACTGGAATCAAAGGTTGGCCGACTTGTTGCTCCAACAGCACATAAAGCCACACACAGCCACAGGGAGGAGTCCCGCAGAGCTCCTCATGAATTGGTGTTTGGCTTCACTACTCAACCATTTGCATCCAGATTTCACATCCAACCACCCACCACAGCGAGAGTTCCAGATTGGCAACACCGTCTGCGCCCAGAACTACAGCAAGGGGCCATTCTGGATTCCAGACACAGCGACCTCGGCTACCAGACCAGTCGGGGGAGCTGCAATGCTCCCAAAGAGCAAGAACTTGCCTGGGCTACTCAAAAGACTATGTGTGCTGACTTAGGGTGTTGTGTATTGTGTTATAAGTATAGCCTGAATTGTATACCAACAAGTCTACTGAACCGGACTTGACACCTACTGCATCGGCAACTATTCTGCCACCCGTTGTCGGGACCATGCCTCCCTCAAACCCAACACCAGCCATCGGAGCTAGCACCTCCTCAGACTCAGCATCAGCCTCTGGAACTGAAGTGCCCTCGGGCTCAACACTCTCCATCAGAGCCGAGCCTCCATACGGTCCAGCCTCAACCAGTCTGGCAGCCCCAGAGTGCAGCACTGACAGTTTTTCCTACAGAGACCATGCTTCTCCTGTGGGGGAGCTGCAATGCTCCCAAAGAGCAAGAACTTGCCTGGGCTACTCAAAAGACCATGTGTGCTGACTTAGGGGGGAGGGGTGTTGTGTATTGTGTTATATGTATAGCCTGAATTGTCGAATAAGCCAGAGCTTCAGTCACAAGCTCCATAGATTCTTAGTATCCTGAAATCAACAGCCTGATTGGCTGCCATTGTGCAATGGACCAATCAAGGAAGACTATGACTTTAGGCGGGAACAACGCCTATTGGTCCTAAGCACTCACTTATGATTGGACCTTACTTTTCTAGGGGTGTGGTTTAGCCAGTTCCAAACTGTATATAAGTTGGGGTTGTTCTGTATGTTCTGTGTTTTTATGTGTTCTGTTCTAATAAACTGAAATCACTGATTAAAGAAAGAGCTGCCTGATCTTGAGTTACAACAGGGGGAATGAAAGAAGCTGCATTGGGCTCTGCAGTGGCAGAGATGGGGAGGTTACCAGGGCAGGAAGCAGAATGAGGTAGGAGGGAGAAAGAGAGTGATGGGGTTGGGGAGGTAGAAAGAGAAGAGAGAGTGCTAGGGTGGAGAGGCAAAAGAGAAAGAGAGTGATAAGATTTATTATTTTTTATTTATTACATCAATTTATACCCCGCGCTTTCCGCGAGCAGAAAGAGAGAGAAAGAGTGACTGATGGGGTGGAGAGGCAGAAAAAGAGATTGATGAGGTGGGGCAACAGAAAGAGAGCAAGAATGATGGGGTAGGGACAGAAAGAGAAAGTGATGGGGCAGGGGTGGAAAGAGAGAGAAAAAGATAATGATGAGGTAGAGGGACAGAGGCACGGGGGAGACAAGAAGAGAAGGGTGGCAGGATGGAGAAACGATGAGAGGCAGAGAAGTAGGGGGAGAGGGGAGGAAACGAAGGTGGGAAAATGCCCCCTCCCCACAAATTTCTTGCAGGTCCCCACTTGTGTATTATATTAGTACCCTTGCTTTTCAGCTAGATTTACAGTTCAACTCAATAACCATGTACAGTTCTGTCATGACCCCCAGGGGTCGCCACCTTCAGCTGCCACCACTCTGGTCTTTGTGTCCCTTGAGAAGGCCCAGAGTATCCTCCCAAACCCATCCAAAATGCCCCCTTTTAAGACAAGAACGTAGGCATGATGATCAGGCAGAGAACACTTAAACAAATGGTTTATTAACACAGTACTGGGGCAAGGAAAACAAGACAAGGTGCTTTAAGATAGATAACAGTGTTTAAAGGCAAAATAAACAAATCTAACACAACTACCTAGTTCACTTAATTAGTTACTATTTCAAGGCCCACAGCCTTCTTATACCAGGCCTCCTGCCTGTACTCACTCTGTCCCAAGTGAGGGATCTTTCCCTCAGACCAGTCCCCTCAGTTTTTCTCTGTGTGAGGCAAGACTACAGAAGAACAAAGAACACAGTTTCATGGCCCACAAAGTTCCATCTCCTCACACAATCCCTGAACACTGATTGGCTACAACTGTTGCTAAGCATTGTGGGGGTTGTAGGCTGTCTGCTCTCCACTCCCACACAGGCCTCTAGGCCTTTCTCCCAGGCCTACACAGATCATGACAAGTTCTAACAATGGTTCCCCTTGACTGTCATTTCTGGCTCTCCTCTCTCAAGTACCTCCACACCCCTTCTTGACATCTGCATGGGGGCTTTGGAGAGGAATGATGACTAAACCTCTCCACAAACCTTCAGTTGACCTGAAGGCTGTTGTCACAGAGGCTCTCACAAATGTTGTCAGCAGCAGGTGGAGTACCTCTTCATTCAGCCTGTGAAGCTGGCTGGCAAGTTGTTTGAGGCACTGACCAGGAGCCCCAGGTTCACAGAAATCCCAAAGAAACAATAGGCAAGATCCAGGTTTGCTTACAAGGAGATTATAATAAGCAATTATCAAGCTTATAGAAATAGCAGGCTAAGCTCCCATTGGCTGGGCCTTGAATGCACCCCAGGGGTCATTTGGGGGGGACGCGGGGGGACGCCATCCCCCCGGGTGAGGTGCGGGAGGGCGGGGCCTGGAGCTCCCTGCTGGTGCCCGCTGGAGGTCGCCGCCGGCTGTGGGGAGGACACACTTCCGGTGATGTCAGGGGGTGTGGCATATGCTAATGAGTTATGCTAATGAGTCCCCCTAGCTCTTTTTCTATGAAATGACCCCTGCAAGTGAGGGATCTTTCTCTCAGACCAGTCCCCTCAGTTTTTCTCTGTGTGAGGCAAGACTACAGAAGAACAAAGAACACAGTTTCATGGCCCACAAAGTTCCATCTCCTCACACAATCCCTGAACACTGATTGGCTACAACTGTTGCTAAGCATTGTGGGGGTTGTAGGCTGTCTGCTCTCCACTCCCACACAGGCCTCTAGGCCTTTCTCCCAGGCCTACACAGATCATGACAAGTTCTAACAATGGTTCCCCTTGACTGTCATTTCTGGCTCTCCTCTCTCAAGTACCTCCACACCCCTTCTTGACATCTGCATGGGGGCTTTGGAGAGGAATGATGACTAAACCTCTCCACAAACCTTCAGTTGACCTGAAGGCTGTTGTCACAGAGGCTCTCACAAATGTTGTCAGCAGCAGGTGGAGTACCTCTTCATTCAGCCTGTGAAGCTGGCTGGCAAGTTGTTTGAGGCACTGACCAGGAGCCCCAGGTTCACAGAAATCCCAAAGAAACAATAGGCAAGATCCAGGTTTGCTTACAAGGAGATTATTCAATTTTTTTTCAATTTATTACAGGTCTTTATATTGGCTGGGCCTTGAATGCACCCCCACACAGTGAAACTTAGCCAGAACTCAATACAAGATGCATAGCTAAAACTAAGCATCTTATATCCTAATGCTGGCTACCTGTCAAGAAACCATTAATTAAGCTATTCCAAATCTATTTATTTATTTATTTCCTTCAATTTATATACCGCTCACCCCCTAAGGGCTCTGAGCAGTTTTACATATTCCATTAATGCCAATCCTAACCTAGGGCCACATACATACAAGGGGGAGAGTGACTAGCCTACCAGACACCCTGTAGCAAGTCGTTGTTGTCTGCAGGAACTCGTCCGACAACATCCTCCTGGTGCTGGTCTTTGATTGTTGCGACTACCTGGCTGTTGCGACTCCTTCGGGCCTGGACCAAGCACACGTCCACGCATGCTCACTGCCGGCCTCTGTCTAGTAGGCTCTGGCCTGCTGCGTCGCCCCGCCTCCGTGCTTTTTGCCGGCCCATCCTCCTCTCACTCGCTTTGCCTCGCCAGCCGCTGCCATGTTTCTCCGCCTCCGCCGCTCGCCGTTCATGCCGCCACTACACTGCAAGGGATGGGTGCCCCCCCCGCTCTAAGAGCAGGTACCCATTTGTCTATTTGCCCTTTAACAGGCTTTCGAGCCGCTGGGTGGACGGGAGCTGGGACATAGGGCCGGGAGCTCACCCCGCCCGCGGTGGGGCTCGAACAGCCGGAGCTGTTCGGCCAGATGTCAATGCAGGCTTCACTTACTGCCTGCGCCACCGCTCCCATCGCAAGATGAACCAGGCCATCTCACACCTGGTGTCTAGTGGTGAGAGGAAACAAATCAGACTTTGAAGATAAGATCTACTAACAAGCATGAGAGAGAAGAGTATGGGAGCGGCCTGACAGCCATCCCCTCACACAACTCAGGGCAACTAAAGGTCAAGCACCACTGCCTATAACACAGAGGTAGTTGCAGAGGCTATACACAGGTCTGACTCTTTTCTCTTTTTCCTTGGCTTTGTAGGATGACATGTTGACTAATACCTCCTCAACAAACTCCTTCTCTTAGTTTCACATGTGCCCTAAATAGAACACCTTTGCTTTTTCTGCTTTATAGATCACTCATAGTTGATACTGAACACATGAAGCTGTCTTTTACTGACTCAGACTATTATTAGTTTATCGGTGCCAGTATTGGCTATTCTGACTAGCAGAAAGCTCTCCAGGGTATCAAGCAGAGGTCTTTCACATCAACTCCTACTCGATTTTTTTAACTGGAGATGCCTGAATCTGCATAGTCACTGTTGCCATATTTGTAATAAATTTAGCTAGATAAGTGATAATTCCTAGAAATCTTTGTAAATTATGTTTTGTAAATTAGCCATTTGGGGTAACAAGTTTAGTCCTGTTTTAGCTGCATCACAATGTTGTTGTTCTTAAACCTTTATTGCTTAGGAGATGTCTTGGTGGTGGTGGTGGAAAGTGCCTTCAAGTCACAGCCAATTTACGGCTACACCATAGGGTTTTCAAGGCAAGAGACATTCAGAGTTGGTTTGCCATTGCCTGCTTCGGCATCATGGCCCTGGTATTCCTTGGAGGTCTCCCATCCAAATGCTGGCCAGGGCCGACCCTGCTTAGCTTTTAAGATATGACGAGATCAGGCTAGCCTGGGTTATCCAGGTCAGGGGAAGATATGTCTTAGGTCAGTGATATTTAGTGGCTCAGGAGCCAGATGTGGCTCTTTGACCTGCCACTTGTGGCTCTTCTGAGCACTGTTCCCCAATGTGGCAGCCTCCCCATGTTTCAGGAGAGTGGGCAAGGCAATTGTCTCATGAGGCTTGTGCTTGGCAGTGATTCCTACCGTGATCCTACCATGAAACAGTTGCCGCTGAAGGAACTGGAGGAGGGTGTAAACTGCAGGCCTCCCTAAGGTGTGTGCTTCATGCTAGGGATGGAAGTAAAGGACCCATCCTCTCCAACAGCACCCCTGATCTTTTCTCTGCAGCCTCTGCACTCTAATCACAGCATCTGAACGGCTTCCAGGAAGACAACAAGTTGGCCACATAGAATAAAGAGTAAAATCACACCACCAAGAAAAGAGCAAGCTGGCCACAGTGTGTGGGAGGGTGGTTTTAGTCCCCTTTCTCAATGGCCAGATCTCTCAGTATCTCAGAAATCTCAGTCTCTCACTTGAGATGCTGCATCTCATGTCTCAGAGAGATCAAGAAGGCAGAAAGGGATATAAAGGGTGCACAGGCCTCTCGAGAAGAGATGCTTCACAGAACTGCTGACTGCTCAGAGCAGAAGTTGGCCATGGGAAACCTCAACACCTTCTACTTCCTTTGCTGGCGTGAGGCAGAGTAGCTTTGGCCATCTTGCTCTCACCTGAATTGCGAGCCTTGTGCCAGGGAGAGAGTTCGAAGACAGCAAGGGAAACAAAAGATGTACAGGTTCACCAGTGATGGAGGGACAGCCCTGCATGCTCAGAGGTGCTCTGGTAATTTACAGATAATAGCTATATATTTAATACTGATATTTGTATCCAACATTATAGTACAGGTGTGTTTGGTGGGGTGGCACACAGAAAGGGTTGCCAGCTCCAGGATGGTAGAGATTTTGTGGGTGTAGCTTGAGAAAGGCAGGGTTTGGGGAGGGGGCAGGACTTCCATGGGGTATAATGCCATAGAGACTACCTTTTAAAGCAGTCATTTTCTCCAGGTGAATTGATTTCTGTTGCCTAGAGATAAATTGTAATCCCAGGAGATCTCCAGTCACCACCTGAAGGTTGGCAACCCTCCACACAGGCCATGCAGTAGTCATGTGACTCTTGTTTGATGGCAGTTGTGAATGTGACTTTCCATGAACTGCAGAACGAGTACCACTGTCTTGGGTATTTTATTTCTAACAAAGCAAATTTGCATTTTCCTTTAGTCAGTTTCAGGTTCTTTTTTCAACATCTGTCTAGAACTATTCCGAGCTTCTGGTTAAGTTCACATCTGCTGTTTCCCTGCACCAGAAAATTATCTCTGTGTGTGTGATTATCTCTCTTTAAATAGATATCTCTCTGCAGGTAGATATAATTATTAGGGATGGGCTTGAACAGAACCACAAAGCAAAATTAGTCACACATTTTGCCCTGTTTGTGGGTCATGAACAGAAGTTTGTGACAGGCTTACCGTCACAAACTGCTATGAACTTTTGAAGTGCATGATTTAAATCATCTGTCTGTACTTTTTGCTTGACTCTGGGTTGACTCTGGGTGCAGTCAGATGGCGTGCTGGGAGTGGTTTAAATTGCTCCGGTCCCAATGCGTTTTTTTTTAACCTGGAGAATCGCGATCACACTCACCTCCTTGTTCCAGATCACTGAGCAGCCACATCGCTCCCTGCCGTCCACACGCGGGAGCGCGCGTCAGTGGGTTTTTCCCTCTCTCACTCAGTTTGGGCATGCGCACAGGCGGCCATCTGTAGAATTAAATTTCGCGTGTGCGCAGAACAGCAATTTCCACTTCAACCCAACTGCTGTAACACTTCCCTTTAAACTTTAAAGGAACACTTCCCTCTGTGAAATCCTGAACTCGTCTAACCAACAAAACTAGGCACCGTTTAAACATTGTTTTTAATAACTTTGGAGCGGAGCTCTTCCTGTGCACATACCGCCGACACTAAAATAAAATGGCGGGCAAAGAACGGAAGCCTCAGGCTTCTGAGCAGAAGTGGCTCGACACCGCAGGAGCGATCAGACATCAGAAAAGTGCGGCTAGAACTGGAGAATCAGGAAAACACCACTTGGGGACCTGGTAACAAAATACTCCATTTTAAAGGGGGGTTGAGCCGGAAAGTGACGGCTGGGGATGGTGTGCAGATGTTGGGTGTGTGAACGTGGATATAAAATCCGTTACTGAAGCATGCCGAAAGCGGACTAAACGGCCCATCTGAACACACCCTCAGAGTACTTTTTGTCATGGATAAGAACAGAGGAAATTGTTTCCTCATAGGTAAGGCTAATGTTTATGGACATGAACCAATCAGATGGAGACAGGTAGGTTGGGAAGATTTCATTGGCCCTAGGTCAATATGTTTTCACATCCTGGGGTGAAAATAATGAATCCTTCCAATGTGAATAGCAGTGGCCCATTAGCCACTACTTTCTGGCAGGCCCCAGAATCCCCGTTCCAAAGCCCAGATTAGCCATGCACTTGAGGAGGGGAAGATAAAAAGGAGCTGTTCTCTCTTTGTGAGGACAGCTGGGCAGTTTCCTCTATGCATACAGCTTTGTGTTGCTTACTCATGAACCTTGTTATACCCAAGTTACCAAACAGCCCTGTTTGATGTTCCTCCTGGCATCAAACTGGTGAGAGGGCATGATTCAGGAGCTAATGGCAGCTACCAAAGAAGAAGCCTTCCCCAAGCTCTTAAGAGAGTTGGGGAACAGCTAGGGTTTCCCACAGGGAAGGTTTGGTTTCCTTTGGACAAAAAACTTCCAAAACACTCCCCTAGCCTCCAGGTGGGAGTTACATCTCTCTTACCTGCTTGCTGGCTAGTTGCAGGAGTGGGGGGAGAGAATAACCCAAGAGGGGCCGGGGCAGGATCATTACACCTCTCACATTGTTACACCTGTCCAGGGCTTTTTTTGTAGAAAAAGCCCAGCAGGAACTCATTAGCATAATTGGCCACACCCAACAGCAGAAACATATTAGCCTATTAGGCCACACCCCTGGCAGCACAGCTCATTAGCCTATGAGGCCACACCCCCGTGTTACCAGAAGTGTGGTCATCCAGCCACACCCACCTTTTGCTTCTTATTCTGTTTACCTTGTTTGTTGTCAAAACCCTGAGCTTTTTTAACTCCTTTGCATGTTAGGCCACACACCCCTAACGTAGCCAATCCTAATGAGTTCCTGCTGTTGGGTGTGGCCTGTTATGCTAATGAGCTCCTGCTGGGTGTGGCCAACTTGGGAGCCAGCCGGAACTCCGTTCCTGTGCGTTCCTGCCCCAAAATAGCCCTGCACCTGTCACATTCTTCTGGGTGCACAGTATGTTTCAAATTTACTGAAATTCGATATGCTTCCATTTTGATTTGTTTTGTTTTATATATGAACAAAATTAAATAGAATCTATATACAAACAATTCTGTAGAACCAGTGACTCAGATTATTTATATCCCAACCAAGCAAAATAAAATCAACATTTGTATTATTGTCAAAACTACAAAAAAAGAATTAACTAACTCTCCTCCCCATATCCCTAACCCAAGCTCACTGTGATGTGCAAAGGGTAAGTAATGGTTTTCTCAGTGATGTGCAAAGGGTAAGTAATGGTTTTTGCCATTGATTCTTAACTTCTTTATACTGCACCTCAAAGAACAGAAATCTGTTCTTCTCTGAGCTCACTGTGTATTCTTGAAGATGGGACTGAGTTAATGCTGAAGAAGTAGTATACAGGTAGGAAGCTAAGCCAGCACTTTTTGGACCCCCTGCTTCTGTTAAAGTCTGCTGTTACTGTGTTAAGTTCAAAGTCACGATCCACATAGACCAAGGTGATCTTTTTGAATTTGCAGATGATGACACAAATACTACAGATGGTCATGGAGCATCTAAAAAGGACAAGGCATGGATTATTTATCTCCTCTCATCTTTGGGTGCACTATGTCTCATTGCTGTTAGCTGCTTGGGCCCACTATATTTCATATGGAGGCACCCAGGTAAAGTCTCTAGTTCTTTTCATTTTCCAGTTCTCCCTTCTCCTGCAGGGCCAATGCAATTTGCCTGTCTGACCTCTGCCAAACATAATTTTCTTTTGTTTACAGTTATTTCAATATTCTAATTAAACATTATTTTCTTGTTAATATGCCCTGTTCTCCTCCATACAATCAAAGCAGTCTGATCTGCTAATAAAATTTGTTGAGCTCTTCCTTAATCCCAATTTTCTAGCCTATGTCATGAAAGCAATTTTATGTGGTTTCTTATTATAGAAAAAGTATTACAAATATAATGCAATACAGTCCTCCAAATACTGATAAATTTGGATGGTTTCCTCAAAGCATTGTTAATATTTTAGACAAATTACACAGAAAGTTCACACAATCACTCCATTCATATAATGATTCTTTTTCCCATTCCAGTTAAAAACAAGAAGATTTCATCCGTCTCACAAAGTGAAATGAATGTGGTAGGTTTGTTCGTTTGGTGTGTGTCGCTATCTAAACTTTGGCTATTATAGCTTACCTGACGGAGCTTCAATATGCAAAGTATTACAGAAACACAGATAGTGATATTCACCTCAAGGACTTTGCTGTTTCAAATAAAGTACATTTTTTCCAAGCGTATGCACATGTGAAAGGCTCCTTATTCAGTTGAATAAGGTTGATTTTTAAAACCAATAATATTTACAATTAGGTACGGACAGTAAAGTTCATCATGAATTTTCTCCAGTTTGTGGTTTGTGAAGCAATGTTTGCAAACTGAAGAACAGTCATGAACTTCCACAAATTTTGATGCAGTTTGTGGTGGTTCATGAACAACAGAAATCGGGGATCTTCATGAAAAACAGAGCCATTTAGACCAAACAGCTGCTTTCTGCTCCCCGCAAAAAGCCATGGGGAGCAGAAAACAGGGGTTTAAACTTTAAATGGCTCACAAACTGATATGAACCAATTCAGTTCATGAACCAGCATATTGATGAACTGAACTGCAAAAATGTGGTTTGTGCCCATCCCTACTTACAATCCTGTTTCCACTTATGCATCTAGTACATTTTCTCAATATCCCCACTTATGCATGTGGTTGGATTTTTGGTTTCAGAAAGAAGAAGAGAGTTAAAAGTTCTAAATGTGGCCACTTGATACTTAACATCATTGTCTAAGAAGTCATCAACAAAATTTAAGATTATATGTATTAGTAATCCTCAATATCCAGTGTCAATGGGAAAAGGTTAAAAATTCAGATATTTGCTGAATTTCAAATTTGTTCAATATTTCTTTTTTAAGCACTGTCTTAAACCTTGTTCAGATCTCTTACTTCGCTGAATGCATTGTTGTCCCATGGTTCAGTTGCAACTATAGTTTGTGCTTCTGCCTTCTTTCTGCCTTCCCTTTCATATGGCTCAATAACTAAACATTTCCACTGTTACAACAAACTGTGTTACATCTGAACCACAAACTTGGTTTTGTTGTCCTTCCTTCAAACCAACATTTCCAGGTAGGATTAAACCTTAGTTTGTAATCCCATTTGGAGGGAACAAACCATAGTCTGATTCAGCTTTAACAAACTATGCTCTGTCCTGAACGTAGTGATGGTTTATTATCAAGTGGCATGTGAGGGGAAGAGGGAAGGGTACAAAGTCAATATTTATTAAGTTTTAGTACTCAGATAATTTTACAACTGTTTACTGTCTGAATCATGCCTTATCTCACTCTCATAGGCAACTGTAAATCTGTATAAATAGTTCCATTTTTATCCAAATGTTTTGGATATTTTCCTGGTTATTTGGATAAAAGAGTTTCTTGTGTCTGTGTTTCCTGACGTTTTGAAGGCCAAGACTATTAAGATACTTGAACTGTCTACTATTTCTGACATAGTGGTTGCTGCCTTCTAAGCAGTTAAGTAACCCTATAAATTTATTACACTATTTTTGCAGTTGAATAGCTATTCAGATGTAAAGTACTACAATGACAATACCATTGGTGTCCCAGATGAAGGATCTGTGCCACATCATGGTGCTGCTACACCTGGCTTGAAGAACAAACATGGCAGCACTATCTGTGATGATCAAGTCAGTTGCTGGAAAGCATTTAGAGCAACATTAAATCCAGTACATCATCAGTCTGCCACCAGTATCCACCACTTCCCAGGTGAAGATCATGATATGATTGTTTATGCATCTCTGAGTCATGGGGAACATTCTCAAAGAAGTGAACCCTCAGTAGAAATTGAACTTACAGAATATGCCACCATTGGGCAGAAGAATTAAATCTGGCCAGTATTTTTGTTCTTATTTTATAAGTGACAGCCAATGTGTTCCACTGCAGCCCAACAAACTTACATAGAAAGACATTGTTATTTACTGCATGCATATCAGCTAATCAGTTTTCAACAGTAACATTCTTTTGTTCAAAGAAAATATTATTCTTCTGTTAAACTGTCTGATCATTCCAATGAATCTCAAGTTGATTGAATTTTAGCAATTCTGTCTTTGTAAGGTTCTACACATGTTAAATTTGTACCAGATCTTCATCAAATCCAACCACATTACTGTTGATTATTTAAGTATTCTACTCTTACATTGTTAAATGGTCTGAAGGCATAGAATGTAACAACCTTGGTGAAGTGAAGCAGGTTTTAGTCTACTCAGTGGGAATCCTACATATGACAACTTAAGTTCCAAGGAGGATGTGATGCAAGTTAAATAAATAATAATATATTAAATTATTTTTCTGCAAAGAAGATCTGTGAATGCTTCATTATCATCCTAAAAGGTATTCCCTGTGATTACTTCATTATCACCAGAATGGAATATTCACAATGAAAATAGCTCAAAAAATGTATCATTTTGAGAAACTGCAGCACTCTATTTTAATGTACAGTTCCAGTACACTCTGAACCCATGGGAGATTTTCAGTGAATGAATGTATTTTTCTTGTTAGGTGGGAAAAAAAAAGGACTAATTTTTGGTAATTTATTTCACTGAGTTGATCTTCAGTGGTGCTATCACTTTTTGCTGTTATTGGGGCAATCCAAACAGGAACAAAATAAGCAAGCCACAGTGGTGGGAAAACAGACCTGTGGTAGCAGAACACCAACCGTATGTAATACCGAAATTATCTACATTAGCAAATAAAGAAATAAAGATTCATGAAATAATCTATGGATTGTTAGATAAATTACTGCTGCACCATACATTGTTATCAAGGATGCTACAGTGATTGTCAACTAGATTTGATGTTAACATTAAAATTTCTACTGGAAAATGCAGAGCCAAGCTAGACAATATGGGTGGCCTCAGGGACACCTGCCATTTTGAAGTAGTCAGTGCCCAGCTCCTTTAAACTGAGTCAGGGGGCTCAATTATGGTTGGGACCACCACAGCATGTAGGAAGGAAGGGCTCCCCCCCATTTTTCTGACCTGAAATAGTGCTGGGAAGAGGAGCACATGGACTAATAACTGAATTCTGAGATCTTTCAACATGCTGCCAATCAACATCTTCTGGTTTTCCATGGCCCCAGGGACATCCATCTTGCCTCAACTAGGGCCAGGGCTTTTTCGTCCCTGGCCCCTACCTGGTGGAATGAGTTCCCATATGAGATCAGGGCCCTGCGGGCACTTTTAGAGTTCTGCAGGGCCCTGTAAGATGGAGCTCTTCCACCAGGCTCTTAGTTGAGGTGGCAAGCATCCCCTCTTCTATTGTGCCTCCCCTCCAGCAGGTCAGATCTCCTGTTTACCAGCTAGGAAACCTAATTTGAGAAACCTCATCTGTTGAGGCACTGATTAGCCCATAAGAATAGAATTCCATTTTAATTGATGTATTTTAATTGTTTTTAAGTTTTTGCTAGCTTTTTTTTTTTTTGCTTTTTAAAAGTTTTTTGCTAGGCTTTTTTCCCCCTGAGAAAATCTGTCCTGCACCCAACAGATCTTAAAGGTGAAAAGACTACCTCCCACTTGCATGTAAAGGAAGTATGAGAGCATATGTGTATTGTTAAACAAAACTGGGACATGTAGGCATTTTTTCTCCCTAAAAACTGGGGGGGGGGGGAGGGGAGGGAAACTCAACCCAAGATAACACTGCGAACCAGAAGGGTTAAGCTGACCATGTTTATTATAAAAGTACAAAATTTATTAGGGTGTACACATATTAAAATATATTCGGGTTAAAACTTTTTTTCAAGTATCAGACTAATACAAGCATATCAAATATTAATACGCATGATGGGTCAACACTTTCCAACTGAAGACCAAACGCGTTTCGGCCTCAAAGGGCCTTCCTCAGTGGTCACTATTACAACATAGTATAAACACACGTTCAAACATATGTATACAAGATCTTTAGTACACTTATATAAAGACCAGATGTTGTATCCTTATATGTTTGTAATTGTGTTACTGGTATTAATGATGGGCCATAGGTATAGCCATATCCATTCCAATTATTCTGGTAACTGAGATTTCATAAGTCTGAATGTGTGTCACTCCATCAAGGTAAGGATTCTGGGCTGGGAATTTCCTGATGATCTGAGGCTGGAGCCTGGGGAGGGGAGGGGCCTCAGCATAGCAGAATGCCATATTCACCCTCCAAAGCAGCCATTCCCTCCAGGGGAACTGCTCTCTGTAGTCTGGAGATCAGCTGTAATTCTGGATGATCTCCAGGCCCCACCTGGAGGTTGGCGACCCTAGTGAGATCACTGTATTAAACGGATGGCGGTACTCAACCTACTGCTAGTCGTCACCAAAGTGTCAAAATGGGCAAGCTGCACGGAATCATCTGAAACCACTTTCAGTACATAATGTCTTTAAGAAGTTTTTTTTTTAAAAAAAGCACCCTGAAAGAACAGTATACGAATTAGAATTCTGCCTTAATGACCTCATCAACTCGCCTTTGATTTGAAAGACAGGATGTATAAGAAAAACAGGAAGCGTCTCACCGTCTTAGCATGAAACAGGCTAACTGCA